AACTTTAGTGCAGCGCCTTTTGGGGCTTCTTCCTCTTCTTCAAAGTAAAATGAAGAGCTAACAGTTAATTCCAGTTTTGTGTAAACATTTCCTGATGCACCCCAGCAGTCAGGGGTAGTTCACCCTTCCAGAGCTGCTCCAAGCTCTCGCTTCCTGTTACTGCTCCCTTGTTATTCCTGCAAGAAGAATTGGTCATGGTTTTGAGCCAGGGTGACTGTGCTGTTTTTCTGGTCCTTCTCTAAGTTTTGAAAGCCTGAAAGAAAGGCTTCTTGAGGCTCTGCAAGCCCTTACTGCAAGAGGCCTACTGTCCACAGTGTGAGGAGGAGCTGGTTTCTCAGCTGGTATAAAATGAACATGAAACTGTCTGGAAAACCATTGCTGGGGATCTTGACAGTGGCTCACTGTTCAGCTGAAAGGATTTATCAAGTGAGTTCCTTGTTTTGGCTTGGATAATGGAATCAAGAATGTGCTTATTGAATTTGCAGATGGTACTGAGCTGGGAATGGATTTGAGAGCTTTGAAGAGCTAGATTAGAATCAAAACAAACTTGACATTGACCAAATGGTCTGAAAGAAATACGATGCAATTCAAGGAGGAGAAATGCAGAGAGCTGCACTTGGGTGAGAACAGTGGAATTGCATGAAGATGGAACTAGAGGAGAAAGTCCAGGCCGTGTCCTGCAGAATGTGGTGAGCAGCAAGAGCCATTTGAGACCTAACACTCCTAGTGGGGCTGGTGGCATCAATCATCCCTCTGCTTCAGCTACAGGCCTGTGTGAACTGGTTAGTTGTGACCAGTTCTTCAGCCTCAAAAGCAATTTGAGTTTGTGGGAAGGAGTAGGCAGCTTCAGCGGGGTTTCAGGTGAGGTTTTGCCCTTGTCTGTGTTCATGCCTTTGGAGATGAAGTTCAAAACTGCTCCCCAGGGTTGAGATCGAGGTATTCTACCCCTTGCACTGGGCAAGCCGTGCAGAAAACTACTACTGGCACTCATTGTCATCTGCCAGGTTTAACTGAGTGCTCCTGCAGAGTTAGGTTCTTCATTTTGACTAGCCAAAAATCTTTCCCTGCGGTTGGTTTCATGCTGCTAGTGGTGCTGGGTGGTTGCTGTCCAGAGTGCAGCATCACAGCTTGTCTCAAATCTGTAGCATGAGATTGCTGGTGCTCGATACAGCTACTCACCACTTGCACAAAATGCAGCTTACGCAGCTCCTCTGTGGTGTTTCCTTCTCAGGAGGTAGATCTTCAGCTTTTTGCAGGTGGTGTGGTTCAAGATTTCCCTTGTTGGGTGCTTGTTAAATCTCCAAGACTTGCAAATCTCTCTTCAGAAAGCTTAGCAGGAGAAGGAGGTGGACAGAGTAGACTCAGGGCTTTCCCTTTGGTTTCCAAGAGGATTTTTGGGGTAGTATCCATTGTAGTTTTGTCGTGTAACTTAATTGTGGTTTGTCTCCTCTGGGTTTTGGTTTACAAGCTGAGTTAAACTAAACACATGTTTTTAAACTCGCTCTGTAGCATCGATACTCATAGCTTAAAACAAGTCATTTTGATACAGATTACATCCAAAACCAGCTACCCAGCGTAATCTGCTTTCATCTGCTGCAGTGACCAGCAAAGGATTTTGTGGATTCAACTCAGAACCCTGCATCACTTTAAATTAATTTCTGTTAACCTTGTGCCATTTCTGCATGTGGACAAAGCCTAATTGATATGCACAGCGGGGCCTAAGAACCAGACACTGATTTTAGTCCAGACCCTGCTTTGTTACGTGATTTCCTTTATGTGCCTTTGCTGCCTTCTCTCCATTATGTCTTTTGTCTACAACTGTTTTAAATTTTTGCCTTGTCTCTCTGCACTTGCTTGCTAGCACCCCATGACACTTCCCAGCACAGGGCTCTTTCTCTAACAAACCCCAGATTCTGTCTGACTGGACCAAGCTGTTTATTCCCAACTGGAGCAGTGGGTCCTTCTGGAGGAGAAGATTCCAGCACCAGATTGCCCTGAAGTGAGGTGTGAAGGTGGCAGCTGTCTCTGTGAAGCAGGTGAAGGCAGCGGTGTCTGCTCGGTTCTTGTGTTCAACCCGCAGTTTCTGGGAAGGAAAATAGTTATTGAGTTATTGTTGCAGCCTGTTTACCACGACCTGATTTCTGAATGCTCACCACTTCCTGCCAGAATACGAGCTCATTGCCTTGAGTTACCTTGGGAGAGAAAACAACACAGAGCTTGTTCACAACCTCAAATTGTCCTGGCTTTGATGTTTTGAACCTCATGTCCCCATAACTGTTTGGGCTCCTGTTCTTCCTTACGTGCCATCTGTCAGGACAGCAGCTTCCTGCATCTGCTGAGAGCTCCGTTTATCTACAAACTCCCAAGTGATTAATCTTGTTTCATTAAAAAAAAAAAACCCTGACAATGTGCTTTCTCCTGGCTCTGGGAATTCTTGAGGACCTCTTCATTTGGGAGGAGGCCAAGCTGGATGGCAGCTTCCCGGCTATGAATCCTTCATTTGTAGTGAGTCTGCCCCGGAAGAGTCACGGTGGATGTTTGTGGAAGCGATGGCTGTGAGACCCAGGCTTCTAGAACAGTGGGTGTATTATAGCTGGAAAAGGCAATTTCTCTGCCAAATCTCGTTGTGCAAGAGGGTTTATTCTTTAGCTTTGCAAAGGTTTCACTTTGTCGGTTCCTTTTTCATTTGCTTGCTGAGACTTGGGAAGGAAGCTGCAGGATTGCAATGGAAAATGAACGCTCGGTTCATCTGACTTGTGTTACCAGGACGGAGCTCTGCTGCACTCAGACGTCCAGCTTGCATGAAAGCAACCATCTGGCATCCTTCTCCTGTTTAATTTGTTAAGTTTTCCCTGGTTTATTCTTATGCTTTGAACACTTTTGGACATATAATCTAGTTTAATAAACTCTGCTGTGTAACGATGTTGTGCAGTGCTGGGAAGCAAGCATGGGTGTGATACTACATGAAGTGTTTCCTTGCATTGCCTGCAGAAGAAAAGAAACATCTGTGTGGAGAGAGACATGTTCTTGTAACAATGGTAGCTTTAGGGTGCAGAGTTTTCTCAGTACATCATTATGAAACAATTAGCAGAGCTTTGGTAGGGAAGTTAAAGACCACATAGACCCTGTGAAATAAAATACCTTTCCATGTGGAGCTGCTTTTCCCAACTGCCAGGAACACCTCCCTTCCTGTTCTTGGAAAACAAGGACCTGGCTAAAAGGCTGAGCTAACTGGGCTCATGTCCTCCAAGAAACATTAAAGGCATTGTGGTTAATATGCTGCAGGATGTTGTATCATCAGCTTCTCTAATTCCTTGCCTGGCTGTGGAAGAGCCTTGCAGCTACAGGAAGAAGCTGTCCAGTGGCTGTCTTGGAGGTGATGGGAGAATATTCCTCTAGGCTGTGGAGCACAAGAGACCTGAGAAAGTGTGTAACTCCATCTCCCATTTGTGTTTA